GCAGTTTTATCGTGTTAGCGGCCGGATTAATTCAGCCCAATTTCGGGTTCGAAGCGACCCCACGGCAGCTGCGTGCTGCTGGCATGCTGCACCGTGCATCTGCTGGGGTGAATTGCGTTCCTCCACTTGAAAAGTAATCCCACCAAAGAGAGGAGAGAAAAAAAAAAAAATTTCATTTTTCTGGTTGGCTCCATGCCCAAGGCAAACTGACTCTGTGGCTGGATGGGTGCTCGCTCTGGCGCGAGGGGGTGGCGAAATGTTGCTGGTGAGAGGTTTGGCTGAAGCTGGAAGACAAAACTGTGGTCTGCAGGGATGAAGAACGCTGCCTGCTCCTCAGGACTGCCAGCTCCTGGCGTGACCCGCTGCTGAGGAAGAGGAGGAGGAGGAGGAGGTCCACCTCCAGCCCTGTGGATCAGCTAAGGACTTAGCAAAATGAGAGGGGGTTGTGCCTCGGTGTCCCTAGACCCCACGGTGGGGAGGAAAATAACCCTAAAGAAATTTAATCTGAACTTGGTCAAAGTTCCCAGGTTTTCCCACTAGTTTGTCTTTAATGGTGCGTTAACGGCAGCGTGCAGTTTATTTATTTATTTAAAGCTGTAAAATTAATCCATTCCCTTGTAATGCTCCCTTGAAGAGATCTCCAGCAAATCCCTAGTTTAGCATGCTGAAATTCTCCTTTGTAAGAGTACCCTGGAGCTTTCAGTTCTTTTTTCCTGAAACGCATTGCTTTGAGTGTCCCCCTTGGAGGATGCTGGCTCCGTCCTCAGCCTTCCTCCTTGTAGATGTAAGGGCTGATCCAAGGCTGGTCCTGAGCTCCTTCTTCAGAAATCACATGGAGCAACTGCTTGGGGATTTAATTAATGATATTTTGAAGTGCTACCTGCTCTCTAGCTGCTTTTCAGTGAAACCCCAACGCCTTGCCTTGGACTGGGGTCCCACTTCAGCGGCAGAGCCCGGAGCAGCCCCCAGTGCACAGGATGGGGACCCAAGGAGCATGCAGAGACGAGC